ATGTCCACCCTTATTTTCATTTGAAAGAAATACATAAACCAAACAACAATCGGAATCCACAACAAATCCCGATCTGGGCGTGAATTAAAATATCTGGGAAAAACAAAAACCTCAAGAAAACCTAGAAATCCAGAGCCAAATTGATTTCTTCTGGAGAGATGTACCAGTGGAGGAAATTCGATTTCTTCGAGGAGAAATACGGAGGCAAAATACCTGACGATGTCACCGGAGATATACAATGCTGTTCCAGTGGCCGTGGCAAAGTAGTCATCGGCTCCAATGACGGATCTGTCAGTTTCCTCGATCGCGGTATCAAGTTCGATTCCGGTTTCCAAGCTCACTCTTCTTCCGTTGTCTTCCTTCAGCATCTCAAGGTTCGCTCAATTTCTCCTTTTATATTGTTTATCTAACAATGCTAAGGACAATATAGAAAATGAACCAAGTTGATGATGATCCATGCTGAATCCGTTACTCAATTTTACAATTCCGGTTGGTTTTGCCTTGGGTACCCTGACTTGCTTATCATTGTCACAATCTAGCTTCGATTTGGTTGTAATTTGACTTTTCTTTGGCTGTGTGTTTTGGAAATTGAGATTCAAACACACGGTGTGTTGTGGATGTTTTTTCTTTTAAAGCTGGAATTTATTTTGTCCTTGGGATGATAATAGCAAAGGAACTTCCTTGTCACTGTCGGAGAAGATGAACCAATATCGCCGCAGCAGTCAGGAATGTGTCTCAAAGTATTTGATCTCGACAAAGCGCAGGAGGAAAGCACAAGTTCCTCCGCTCCCGAATGCATTGGTATCCTAAGAATATTCACCAATCAGTTTCCTGAAGCTAAGGTACAAAGCTAATCTCTTTTCCAGTTTAATCTGTTTATACAAGCACTCTATGCTTGAGATTTCTTCAAGGAAAATCATGTGCAAATTGCAGATTACTTCTTTTCTAGTCCTGGAGGAAGTTCCACCCATACTGCTCATAGCCATTGGCCTAGATAATGGATGTATTTATTGTGTCAAAGGGGACATTGCGCGAGAGCGTATTACCCGATTTAAGCTTCAAGTAGACGGAGTTTCAGGAAAAAGACAATCCCCTATCACAGGCTTGGGGTTCAGGATGGATGGTCTATCGCTTCTGTTATTTGCCGTAACTCCAGACTCAGTGAACTCGTTTGGTATGCAAGCGCAGCCACCTAAATTGCAGACTTTGGATCATATTGGGAGTAGTGTGAATACTGTTACAATGAGTGACCGTTCGGTACATACTTCTACTTCTTTGATTTAGAATTATGTTGTTCTTTTCTTCTTGCCAGCTGAAGCATGCCGTGTTCCACAGGAATTAATAGTTGGTCGACCTGAGGCTGTTTATTTCTATGAAGTCGACGGACGCGGTCCTTGCTGGGCTTTTGAAGGAGAGAAAAAATTCATGGGGTGGTTCCGTGGCTACCTTTTATGTGTCATCGCTGACCCTAAAAATGGGACAAACGTCTTCAATGTCTACGACCTCAGGAATCGGCTGATTGCATATAGCCTAGTTGTTGATAAAGTCTCTAACATGCTCTGCGAATGGGGAAACATAATACTTATAACGGCTGACAAATCATTATTGTGCGTTACCGAGAAGGATATGGAAAGCAAGTTAGATATGCTTTTCAAGAAAAACCTGTACACGGTAGCAATTAATCTTGTCCAGAGTCAACATGCTGATGCTGCTGCTACTGCCAATGTAATGAGGAAGTATGGAGATCATTTATATGGCAAACAGGACTATGATGAAGCTATGTCTCAGTACATCAACACGATTGGTCATCTTGAACCATCATTTGTTATACAAAAGTTTCTGGATGCACAGAGAATCTACAATCTTACTAATTACTTGGAGAAGTTGCATGAGAAGGGTCTAGCATCAAAAGACCACACAACTCTGTTGCTAAACTGTTACACTAAACTGAAGGATGTAGAAAAACTGAACACATTCGTTAGGAAAGAAGATGGCATTGGGGAGCTCAAGTTTGATGTGGAAACAGCCATTAGGGTGTGTCGTGCGGCTAACTACCACGAGCACGCGATGTATGTTGCAAAAAAGGCAGGAAAACATGAGTGGTATTTGAAAATTTTGCTTGAAGACCTTGGAAACTACGACGAAGCCCTGCAATATATTTCGAGTCTTGAACCCAGTCAAGCTGGGGTAACAATAAAAGAGTATGGTAAGATTCTTATAGAGCACAAGCCAAAAGAGGCAATTGATATACTCATGCGACTTTGCACTGAGCAAGGAACTTCAAATGGTGTGTACCTGTCCATGTTGCCTTCACCTGTGGACTTCATCAATGTGTTTGTTCAGCATCCACATTCGCTAATGGATTTTCTTGAGAGATATACTGAAATAGTGAAAGATTCACCGGCTCAAGCAGAAATCAATAACACACTCTTAGAGTTATACTTGTCCAGGGACTTGAATTTTCCATCAATCTCTCAATCAGAAAACGGTTTAGATCAGGACTTCACAGATCTTTCAGTAGCAGCTGCGATGTCTAGGGCTGATTCTGAAAAGAGGAAAAATGCTGATTTGAAGGATACAGTTGAGAAGGATTGCATGGAAAGACAACAGAAGGGACTGGAGTTGCTTAAAATGGCATGGCCGTCAGACCTTGAGCAACCACTATATGATGTTGACCTTGCTATAATTCTTTGTGAGATGAATTCGTTCAAGGAAGGGCTTCTGTATCTGTATGAAAAGATGAAACTTTACAAGGAGGTTATTGCTTGCTACATGCAGAATCATGATCATGAGGGACTGATTGCGTGCTGCAAAAGATTAGGTGATTCTGGCAAGGGAGGGGATCCGTCTCTTTGGGCAGATCTTCTCAAGTATTTTGGTGAAATTGGAGAGGACTGCACCAAAGAGGTGAAGGAGGTTCTTACTTATATTGAACGGGATGATATTTTGCCTCCTATCATTGTTCTTCAGACCCTGGCGAAAAATCCATGCCTCACACTCTCTGTCATCAAAGACTATATAGCACGGAAACTTGAACAAGAATCAAGGATTATTGAGGAGGACCGGCGGACTGTAGAGAAGTATCAGGTTGGTAGTTTCATCATTAATACAATGTTTCATTTATTCATCTAGCCTAACCGTTCAAGTCAACTAGAAAACTTGCTCTAGTATTGCAGACTCTACTACTAATCCAACAGCCGTTTGTGTTATCTCAATCCTCTCCCAAACAAAATTCATAATCAAGTAATTGAATGATGCAGGAATCGACAAAAAACATGAGAAAAGAGATTGAAGACCTCAGGACAAATGCCAGAATATTTCAACTTAGCAAGTGCACCGCTTGCACTTTCACATTGGATATTCCTGCAGTCCATTTCATGTGTATGCACTCATTCCATCAACGCTGCCTCGGTGACAACGAAAAAGAATGCCCCGAGTGTGCTCCCGAGTACAGATCTGTGATAGAAATGAAGAGAAGTTTGGAGCAGAACTCGAAAGACCAAGATCTGTTCTTTCAGCAAGTGAAGAGCTCAAAAGACGGATTTTCTGTGATTGCAGAGTACTTCGGAAAAGGAATCATCAGCAAAACTAATGACGGAACCATATGATTCTCGTCATACCCAAGGGTAAACCACTGAACTCGATTGCAATTAACTCTGAAAATTCTCCTTTTCGATTTTGATACTTCGATGTAGCCAAGTCAAATGAATACCTTGATTGTCTTTACTCATTTATTGATCTGTCTGTTCAGGAAGGGTGGCTGAAACATGTCAGCTCAAGTGAGGCCAACATTGACTGCGTGGCATCTGTGGATGTGAGATACCCTTTGAATCTTTGATCCTTCTACTTTATCGGCTAAAATGTTGTGTAAAAGTGAGTTGCTAGTGAAGTTGGGGCTGAGTTTATACTTGTTCTTGTTTGCATTACATAATCTGCCAGGACTCAGGATGATGTATACATGTTAAGTTGAAACATTTGTTGTGTGTTTTGTTTTTATCGTTTGGATCTCCAAAACTTAGAACGATATGTACATTGCTGTGTGTTGGTTTGCATTCACACGTAACAGGGACTTCGATTTAGTAGTAGCCTGAAATCAAAGGTAAGTGACGTATGATCTGAGCGAGACTAAATTTGCTGTCAACATAAATTTGGTCGTGTAGCCAAGTTTTTTCACTCCATGTAAAACAACATAGTTTCTCCTTTGATTCTCTATTGTTATTTGCACTCGAATTCTTTTTCTGTTTCTCTTTCGTCCTTCAAAGGCATTTTACTCAGAAACAGAGCATAAAGACATAGATCGAACATACAAACATGCTTATAAACTACACAAAGGAGATCTTGTTAAAACTTTATTAAATCAAAACCCATCTCCTTCGAGAACAGCAAAATTGTTTCTTTTTTTGAATATTTTTGGAAGTGGTCATCAAATTTACTTTCATTTGAAAATATTTTCTCCTTAATCATACACTTAGAGTGTGACTGGAAGGCTATTCTAGAAAAACATAAAAGAAAAATTTTATTTTTCTATTAGTTATGCACCAGTCAAGAAGAATGATATTTCTTCTAATTTTTTCTAACGTCACCATCAAAGAAGAATCTTTTTATTTATTAAGATTTTTTCTTTTTGGAAGAAAACTTCCTCCCACTAGAGCTAAAATTGTATTCTCATGTTTACTCTCTTTTATAGTGGGTCCTAGATTAAAAAAAATGGAATAATTTGTTGAATAACC